TATAATATATAATATATAATATAGTATAATATATAATATAATATATAATATAATACAATATATGATATATGATGTATAATATATAATATATAGTTGCTTACCTCATCGGCCTCTCTTGGTCGATTCACAGAGGCTCTACGCCCATCTTGACGAGAAAGCGCTCAGGCTGCACTACTGATACTCTTCGTTGGAAGCATACTGCTCTCCGAAACATCCCACCCCAGACCATGCGGGACTTGTTCACAGAATCTTGTGCACGTTTGCTCGTTGTGTCTTGCTGGCCTTCTGGCCTCTGTGCTCCAGAGAAATGGAATACTACAGAACTCATCACCAGCTCTGTGTGCACGAAGCATGCTGGCTCTCATCGCTTGAGCTGCACGTCGGAGTCAAAAACTGCTTAACGCCCCCCTGCGCTTCCGGAATGGTGTTTAACGCCCCCTGCCGCTTATTCCCGGCAACGCCATTAGGGCAGAGCGTATTGCCTATGCTGAATCTAGGGTAGCTGAAAGGTAACCACACATTTTTGTCAAATGATACAACATGCTAGCACTCTTATGAACAGGAACAAGTAAGGTCCCAGAAAGCTACTGTAGCGCATCCAATCGAGCTCTGAGTGACAATTTCAGCCGTGGCCCGGAAGTCTGCCGGGTTGGACAGCTGGGCACCATCCTGCGCGCATCCCTCTAATAAACCCTATAATGAACCCCATAAACCCTATATTAAACCCTGTAAACCCCATAATCCGTCATCATCGTCTACCGCTAGCCGCTTCCGCTGACCAACATCACAGAGGTGTAACAAGCTGCAGACAGCCCAACCTGACCCGTTTCAGAAACTTTCTACAAGCCAGGGCTTGATGAAGGTGTTACATTCGATGTGCCCAGCTTTCACGTCTGCTTTCCGGAGTGAACTCCGATCCAGTGCACAGAACATCGCTTGTGGCGCATGCCGGCAGCTGAACAAAATAAGGCCGAGGTTGAGGATGGGAAATCTCAGCTCTAAACGCTCTCCCCTTCAGCCCAGCAAGTGGTGCAAAGGAGCAAGCCACAAGAACATGGAAAGGCTGGGAGCAACCCTCAAGAACATGGAAAGACTGAATCCAGCAACCATGCGAAAACGAATGCCACCTCTGCATCGCTCGCCCACACCCGTCTGAACAACACCAGCACCGGCATGTCAAGCATTTTTGAGCCAACCGATGCCTAGTATCCCAAACCCGGCCTGTCGCTCGGCTTCCTGTCACATGCCGAGCAGGTTCCACTAGCACCTTATAGGTCCTTATAGGTTATTCATGTGGCATGCTTGTGAGTCTGCAATCTCATCGGCTGATCCATACCAACTCCGGGAAGTCGGGTCTCAGAATTGACTCTCCCTCTTGATGGAGGCTTGGAGGGCTGTACAAAACTCTGCACTACGTCAAGGAAGAGCAAGGTACCCTAGGCCTGCTGAACCTCTTATTTTTTCATGGAGACCACCCGAACCAGCAGTGCAAACCGCCAAAAGACGTGGATTTAAACCCTGAGCGTAGCGGCGCGGTGTGTGGAGGGATGGCAACTCCGGGTTCTCGGACAAGGGACGCAAGCATGTCTGTCGACTTTGCGCCAACTCGTCCGGAAGTTGATAGCATGTGCTGTCAGATCTGCTGGTGCAGATGGCCGCGATTGCAACCCAACAACACCTCTAGTCTACGTTGCTTCAAGCCTTTCAATGCCAGATGCAGTGGCCTTGACTTTACAGATTATGACTCGTAAATAAACTATTGTAAACTGCTAAGCATGCACATCTCCAAGATGTTCGATCCGGCCTGGGCGAATGCAGTGGCAGGGAAGCGCAGGCGCCTAGGAAAGCCGCCAGCAGTGGAAGTCAAATACTGCTAATGTATACTACTACTACTACTACTACTATTATTATTGCTGTTATTATTATTATTACTATTATTGCAATTATTAGTATTAGTATTGTTATTATTATTATTGTTATTGGCTTGAGAGGACAAGCTCTCTGAGTCTTGCCTTGCCTCAGCTTGCTGACACGTGGACCCCTTCACGTACGAGGTACTAGCTGCTAAGCTGAGATCTGTGTGTCTTGACAAAACTTTCTCGTGCCTAGGACGATATCTCCGAACAAGATGATGCGGTAGCAAGGGTCCTCGCTACCAAACCCCCCGCCGAAGACCGATATCTATGAGCTCTCCTGCCAGATCTACAAGGACAAACCCTAAACCCTAAACCCACCTATCATCAGCACCATTTCACAAGGCTACGGAAGCTGGAGCTCTAGGCCTGGATCTGAACCGACAGCGTGTCAGTATGGGCCCCAGGCATAGCCAGCTCTATCAGCGTCTGAGTCTTGACACCTCGGTACACCACGAAGACTTCACGCACTCTAGTACATGCGGGTTAGCGGTTCAGGGAGTCGAGGGTTTGAGCAGGTTCAGGCTTCTGAAAATGCAGCGTGCGTCAGTGCACAGCTCGCCGGTTTAGCATTCACAGTTTAGGGTTGAAGGTGGTTCGGGAACATGAAGAAGTCAAGCTAGATACATGCGTGCATTCAGTTTGCAAGGCTTAATGAAGGCCATCTCTGCAAGGCTGAACAGTCCACCTGTTCTGCACAACTGGGCACAGCGAGCGCTCTAGCTGCCGAAACCTGTTTTCCTCGAGCTCAAGGCGCCTTCGGTAGACGACAGCATAAGTCTTCGGAACTGGCATGCCGACCCTGATGGAAAAGCCTAACAAGACACTTCAGGAAACATGCTTTGGGGCACATGCTGCTTGGTTTCACATCCATCAAGGGGGGTCTCCCAAAGCATGCTCAAGCTGTCTTGCGTGAGGGCATATCTGGCATTTGCCATCAGCCATCGCATGAGACTGGAGTTTCCCAGGCGCTTGGTGAGGCAGTCAGCTGGCATGTTCGCTCCAGGGATCCAGAACACCTTGGTGCGCAGCACCTCAGCTGACTTGGACATCACAGCCACGTCCAGTTGAGCCCGCCTGCACAACCAAGCTGCCCCTGATCGGCGGTGGTACAGGTCGTAGAGGGCCCGGGCGTCTGTCACACCAACCGTGGGATCCCCGTCGTCGATCATGCGGGCTACGGCGATGGTCTCATCCTCGCCGTAGCGCGTGCCATCACTGACACAGGTTCCAGGGACGACTGCTTCGCAAAACAAAGCCTTCACCCACTCCAGTTCAGCAAGTCCGTCGTCTAGCGCCAGTGCTTCACTTCCAAGTGAAGCCTTGACTGCTCGCCGCAGTCTGTGGCTCTTCCTGCTGTTGATGGAAAGCCGAGCAATTTTGCCATCAATGATGCACCGGTCGCAAAATGCAACCATGAAGCCGCCCTGGGATTTGTCGCCATCGTTCCCAAGGCTCGCATCCGAGAAGACCAGCCAAATGCCGTCTTCGAGGCCGATGGGCAAGATGCGAAGGTAGGCCCCGCTCGTGTTGTGGAGCTCCTGGATCACCTTGTTGCAGAATTTGATGTTCTGCACTGTCGGGCCTTCTTTTCCCCAGGTCATGGTCATTGCACATGACGCGGCCACATCTGGTCGAGCCTCTCGTCCGACCCACAAGAGTGATCCCCCTGCGCCACGGACCAACGTAGTCTCATTCTCGTTCAGCTGTCGGGTCTCGTCCTTCACCATCTCCCTTGGGAGTTTCTCCCGGACATACCGTTCCATGGAGACGGTGATTTCAAAGTCGTCTTTCTGGGAGACAGTTCTCCCTAGGTATTCGCCCGAACCACCAAATATCTCTCTCCATTTCCCAAACTTGAAACGCTGCCGCAGTCGCTCCATGAGAGCTTCATGGCGTTTGTTGCCACCTTGCAAGAAAAGCGCAACCCCGTCGGCCATGTGGATTTTCGGAGTCCACATACGGAAGCACATACAAGCATGGATCGAAAGTGGACTCCACATAGCCCAGATCGCACAATGCCTTGTGCACTGTCTTCCTCCACACAGCTGGCGCGTTGACCAAACCATAAACAGCTGTCAACATGTTCTGATCAAATGGTGTTTCTCCTTCCCAGGGATGCCGGAGGGTGGCATCGTGGCATACAGCGGGCCTTGTTCACGTTCGTGGGCATCCGATTGGCCAAAAGCTGACGAAACATCCATGATCACCAAACGGTAGTGAAGACTGCTCAATATCTGAAAGGCCAGATAGACGGTGGGCGTCGCAGGTGTCGGCGCATAGCGCTCAAGTGCTTGGGCGTCTGGGTCACGGTGCCCAAGCAATATCCAGCGCGCCTTGGCTTTCCAAGCCATGCCGATCTCCTGCTGTTTCTTCGTGAGAATAAACCTTGATGGCATCAGCCGGTGGCTCATAGTCGCCCTGATCTTCTCGATCTCATCAGGATCGGTGATAAAGGAGATCGCATTCGAGCCCTCGAGGTTCTGAATCTCGGTCAGCTTGGCGGCGTCGAAGAGCTTCCGTTCCTCCTTGTTGAGGGTCCGCTCCTGAAGTTCTTTACCTGATTTTCTCGTCAAACAGATCCACCCACTGTGGAGCTCGGAGTACGTGTACAGCACGTCGTTTACGCCAAGCTTCCCAAACAGCTGCATGTCCCGGGCATTCGCAATCACAGGAAAACTCGCCTTGTCACCCCAGGGCGTAACACAATCCGCCATCCACACACCACCAATCTTCGACTTGGGCCTGGCTGAGCTGCCGCCACCACCATCATGCACCCGTTTCAGACCACGGTCAAACAGGCGTTGGTCATCACCTCCTTGGTGTGGTTCATCATCCGCATCGAGAGGAAGCCCAGGGTCCGGATGTCCGGGTCGAGGTCGGTAGTAAAGTGTTGTCTCAACGTTGGTCACACCCCGAGGTAGTGGTCGATGTAGTGTCCTTGATGCCTCGGTGCCAGTCATCTGCTCATCCTCGATCACCCATCCAGAGTCAAGGTCCTTGGTCGTGCGCCGGATGACATCAGACCACATGGGGCCGGCACTATTTGACGTCCTGAATCTGGATGCCCTTGGATCGACACGTCGCCACTTCTTCACCGCCACTGGTGGCCAGACCTCTGGTAACGCCCCTGAGCCAACGGTTGGATGGCCTGATACTGACGATGACCCCGACTCCTGCTCTAGGTCAATCACCGGCACCGATGCTTGTGGAACATGAGGTCCTCCTGAACTTGGTCGCTGTTGGTCTGCTTGTGGTACATGAGGTCCTCCTGAACTTGGTCGCTGTTGGTCTGCTTGTGGTACGTGAGGTCCTTCTGAACTTGGTCGAAG